TGCCGCTTGTGCAGGACCCCACGAATTGGAGAGGTCACCGCGACGCGGCGTTGCAGGTTACCCAGGGTGGGACCGCTTCGTGTGCTACTTCCTCTATCTGTGCCAGTCCTCTTGCTCAGGTTGCAACTCCTGGGAGGTTGAATGTTCTCTCGGCCGCAATCGCACCTCATGGATCTCGCAAACTACATACGGTGTAACCCATAAACGAGGCCACCCCTGGATCGCACATGCCATGGCGCGCGGCTACGCCCGATTTGTGCTCCCAGCTTGGGCCGGCTGTGGGGCTCAAGAGGCGAGCTGCGTCGTGGCTGGAGCGTTCGGGAGAACGCCTCTGGGGAGATGTTGGAGCAGGTCTGGGTGGGGTTTTGACTTCCCTGGGGCCCACGTGCCAAACGCCGGAAGCGCCCAAGTGCGGACGATGTTTCCAGCAAATTGGTGGTCTTGGGTTTTTGATGAATCCTACAGCTCCTGTCTCCACCTCCTGCTCCCTACTCGTCCCCTCGCTTATTTCGTTGACCCTGCTCCGCTCAGTCCGGCCAGTACATTTCCTCATCTGCAGCGGTATCTGACAGTCAGAGCCCCTACGAAACCGAGTTATTGTCGAGTTGATCTTCGCTCAAGAGATGATGAAGATGAGATCCAATAGATTCGCAATCAGAATTATCATGGCACTGGAGCGGAATCATCTATTCGGCGACTTGCCTTCTGTTCCCCAACCCTCCTGCGTTGGGTTCTCGTTTTGAATAGAGCACTGCTCGCGCGTCTCCTTCCCACGCGCGTCTCCTTCCCACCCCCTCCCGTCCCTCTTCCCCCCTGCCTTTGACCCACCGCAGACTCAAATTAGACCTCGCCATCCCTGGGGGGCTGCGATCTGTGAAACTGTCGCCACTTTCGAGGGCTGCTGAGGGGCACGGCACAGTGGGTACCCACCGCAGACTCAGATTAGACCTCGCCATCCCTGGGGGGCTGCGATCTGTGAAACTGTCGCCACTTTCGAGGGCTGCTGAGGGGCACGGCACAGTGGGTACCCACCGCAGACTCAGATTAGACCTCGCCATCCCTGGGGGGCTGCGATCTGTGAAACTGTCGCCACTTTCGAGGGCTGCTGAGGGGCCCAGCACAGTGGGTACCCACCGCAGACTCAAATTAGACCTCGCCATCCCTGGGGGGCTGCGATCTGTGAAACTGTCGCCACTTTCGAGGGCTGCTGGGGGGCCCAGCACAGTGACCCACCGCAGACTCAAATTAGACCTCGCCATCCCTGGGGGGCTGCGATCTGTGAAACTGTCGCCACTTTCGAGGGCTGCTGGGGGGCCCAGCACAGTGGGTACCCACCGCAGACTCAAATTAGACCTCGCCATCCCTGGGGGGCTGCGATCTGTGAAACTGTCGCCACTTTCGAGGGCTGCTGAGGGGCACAGCACAGTGGGTACCCACCGCAGACTCAAATTAGACCTCGCCATCCCTGGGGGGCTGCGATCTGTGAAACTGTCGCCACTTTCGAGGGCTGCTGCACTGGGTTTTCCATCCCTGGGGGGCTGCGATCTGTGAAACTGTTTCGAGGGCTGCTGAGGGGCACAGCACAGTGGGTACCCACCGCAGACTCAAATTAGACCTCGCCATCCCTGGGGGGCTGCGATCTGTGAAACTGTCGCCACTTTCGAGGCTGCTGGGGGGCCCAGCACAGTGACCCACGCAGACAATTAGACCTCGCCATCCCTGGGGGGCTGCGATCTGTGAAACTGTCGCCACTTTCGAGGCTGCTGGGGGGCCCAGCACAGTGGGTACCCACCGCAGACTCAAATTAGACCTCGCCATCCCTGGGGGGCTGCGATCTGTGAAACTGTCGCCACTTTCGAGGCTGCTGGGGGGCCCAGCACAGTGGGTACCCACCGCAGACTCAAATTAGACCTCGCCATCCCTGGGGGGCTGCGATCTGTGAAACTGTCGCCACTTTCGAGGCTGCTGGGGGGCCCAGCACAGTGGGTACCCACCGCAGACTCAAATTAGACCTCGCCATCCCTGGGGGGCTGCGATCTGTGAAACTGTCGCCACTTTCGAGGGCTGCTGAGGGGCCAGCACAGTGGGTACCCACCGCAGACTCAAATTAGACCTCGCCATCCCTGGGGGGCTGCGATCTGTGAAACTGTCGCCACTTTCGAGGCTGCTGGGGGCCAGCACAGTGGGTACCCACCGCAGACTCAAATTAGACCTCGCCATCCCTGGGGGGCTGCGATCTGTGAAACTGTCGCCACTTTCGAGGGCTGCTGAGGGGCACAGCACAGTGGGTACCCACCGCAGACTCAAATTAGACGCCGCTTTCGTCCTTGTTCTCCTCCTGCAGTCACCTTCCCTCTGCTGCTGCCGTGCTGATGGTTCGGCTTCCCGCACGTTTTCCTCCTGCTCTGCGTTCCCGACTCCCCATGTCCTCTTCGAGCATGTAGCTGTCGCCCCTCGTTTTTGTATGGTTTTCCTGCGCATCATGCCATAGGCGTATGTCCCAAGTAGCTTACATATCAAGTTGATTGTTCATGCAAGTTTCGGCCAACTCTTCGTTTCCATTGATACAACTGGGTTGGGTACGTCACAGGGTAATGAGTCCAACGTCGTTGGGGCCTCGGCCTTCACACACCTGGCACGCCTGGCCTTTGACGAGAGCTAGGCGTACATGAGGCCTTCCAGAAATTCGGCGGCGAGCGAGGGGGGGAAGTGAGAAGGAGAAGGCCTTCTCAGAAGGCGGCGGGACTTCTCAGAAGCCCTCGCGCCTTCTCGGGGAAGGCTCAGAAAACTTCTCGGAAGGCCCGGGGACTTCCGAGCCTTCCGAGAAGGCCCGCCCCTTCCCACTTCCCCCCCTGGCTCGCCGCCTAGAAAGCGGGGGATTGGGAAAGGGGGAGCCACGAAATCTGCTGCATGCAGCTGGCCTCGGCCCCGCCGAGGGGCCCACTCCTCGACACGTGCACGCCTCCGGCGCCGGGAGGCGCCGGGAACATCGGGTTTGCGTGAGCTGCCTCTCAGACCCCCCTCTTCTTGGCATCGCTCGGACGTGTGCATTTTTCCTTCGGCGAGTGCCATCGAGGAGCATCCTTGAGCATGTGGCGAAAAAACCACGCACGAAGCCGAAACAAAAACACAGGGAATGGACGTCCGAGCGATGGCGAGTCTTGCTGCCCCCCCCCCCTTTCCACCCGAAGGCTCAGATTCACCCTCGATTTCTAGTGGGGGGGGGGGGTCGGGAAACATCGAGGAAACACATGTGGAACCCTTACCCCCCCCAAACCCGAAATTCGGGTCTTCGGGTTGGGTTGGGGTGGTCTGGTAGGTAGCCATTTGCTGCCCCCCCCCCTTCTTCGCCCGGCCCGACACCGTTGGCGTCGAGGTGCTCGGAGTCGGCAGCGTGCGGCCGCGCGCCCCGCCAAGCGTCCGGCGCTCGTGCGGCGAGGCGCGCGCCGGCTCCTGCGCACGCGCACACCCGGCGCGAGGATTCTGCAGATGTTCCGGACGTGGATCCTCCTCCTCCTCCTCCTCGTATTCCTCCTCCTCCTCCTCCTCCTCCTCCTCCTCCTCCTCGTATTCCTCCTTCTCCTCCTCCTCCTTCTCCTCCTCCTCCTCCTCGTATTCCTCCTCCTCCTCCTCCTCCTCCTCCTAGCCGTTTCGGCTCGAGCTGATTTTGTGAAAAGCTCGAGCTTGTGCCCGCGTACTTCGAAGCGGCTCGTGGGCACGAGCCTTCCATTCTTCACTAAGGAGCCAAGCGTCTGCGGGAGGCGGCGCATGGTTCCCCAGCCCGATGTGCTGCCAGGCGCTCGCACCCCCTACTGGGGGTGCTCCTGCGGCTGCTGGAACAACTGGGCGAGTCGGGTCAAGTGCAGGAGCTGCGGGGCATCGGCACCCGCGAAGGTGGTACAGGCGGCGCGCAGGGCTGCCGCGGCTGCCAAGAGCCCTTCGGTCTCGGTCAGGCCACAGGCTCAAGGCGCCTGGGCCGACGGGCCGCCAGGAGGGGCAGTGGCGGCCGAGCAGGCGAGGCTCATCCAGGAGTTGCGCGCCAAAGTGGCGGAGCTCAGCGGCAAGCCAGCGCCGCCAGTGCACCCATGGCACCAGCAGCCTGCGGGCACCAAGGCCAAGGGCGGCGGCAAGGGGCAGGGCCCAGCTGGAGGCGGTCCGCCGAATGCCAAGGGCGAGGCGCCAGCGCCTGCTGCGGGGCTCTCCCACGAGCAGGTGGCGGAGTTCCTCAAGAGTGAGGGCCTTGAGGACGCCCACGCTGCTGTCTTGGCGGCTGCGCAGACCAAGGCCGTGGCGCCGCCAAAGCCGCCCACCACCATGTCTGCCTGGTGGAAGGTGGAGAACCTCAAGAAGAAGATCCAGAAGGCAGAGGCCCGCTGCGTGGACATCAATGCGCAGAGGGCAGCCCTCGATGAGGAGCTCGACGGCATCCAGAAGGGGATCGACCAGGCCAAGGCGGACCTTGTCGCAGCCCGTGGCGTGCTGGCGAAGCTCCAGGCAGGAGAGCACGAGAACCCCCTCAAGGTGCTCACGGCGGTGCTGGAGCCTGCTGTGCTGGCAGCGCAGGAAGGCAAGGACGCCCTTGCCGTCCTTGAAGGGCTCCAGCGCCAGGCGGCTGCGGAGGCTGAGGCAGCCAAGCAGGCGGCAGAGGCTGAGGCCAGTCGCCCAGGCCCTCCTGGCGATCCTGCTGCTGATGATCAGGCAGTGGATGCCCCTGATGCTGGAGGTGAGCACCAGGCCGTTCCCATGGACGAGACCGACTTCCTGGAGTCTGACTTCCAGGAGTCCCTCAAGCGAGCCATGGACGGCGAGGGGGACACGTCTGCAGCCGTGGCCAAACTGCTCGCCGAGCACACGGGCAAGAAGGCGCGGCGAGGGTGACGGCCTTGTGCGTCTTGATGCTGCCCCAGTGGCGTCTGGTGCTCCCGAGCCAGCGGCGAGGGCGAACCTCGGCATGGCCGACCTCGACGCCTTCGCAAGTGGCAACATGATCGATTTCGACTGGGAGCAGGCGACGGGCTTCGCAGTCCCAGTGCTGAGGGACGACCTTGTCTTCGAC